GCGGCCTGGGGTGCTGGGCTCGAGCGCTGGTCACCGCTGACTCTCCCTGCCAGCCAGGTCGGATCAGGAGGGGCAGACTGTGTGGACTGTGGTGTGTGTGTGTGTGTGTTGGGAGGCTCTGTGGGTCCTGGGGTGCCTGTCTGAAGGAATCTTGAGGCTGTGCCCTTCTCTGGTGGCCCGGGAACTGGAGAAGTTGCTCCCCCCCCTCCCATAAGTCCCCTTCACCCTACCCGCTCACCTACCCTAGAGTTGGCCCAATAGGGGCTGGTCCTAGCCCCTGCCTCCTCCACACCCCGGGAGGGCTAGTTCCCGGAAGGAGCTGGGCAGCTGGACCAGCAGTGCCCCTGTGAGCCTCTCTCTTTCCCCTCAGGACCCTCTTGGTCTGGGGAGGGGTAGGGCACTCTGTGACTCTTGCCCTTTACTTGCAAACACACTGCAAGCATTTAATGTGTGCTTGTGGAATGAATAAATTCGAGGAGGGGCCGGCTGAGCCTAGAGGACTTGCTTCTTGTCCTCTGGATGTGTGTGTGTGTGTGTGTGTGTGTGTGTGAGCTTCTGACCCTCTCAGCCAAGGGGAAGGGTGTATGTCTGTGCCTGGGTGGGTGGGGAGGCAGCCCTGGCCACCCGGGGAGCCCTGCCCGAGTGAACCAGGCTGCCTATGTCCCATCAGTGCCCCTGTCCTTTCTGCCACTGCCCAGGGGCAGCAGGGGTGTCAGGGTTCCCTCCAGGCCAGGCCCTTCGTTCCTCTGGGGTGGTAGATAAGTCACTTCCCCTCTCAGCTTGTGTTTCCTCTTCTATAAAATATTGGGCCTGAGGGCCTCCTCCCAGATCCAGACAGTGTGATTGTGGCCCCTGCTCTTAGAGTGGGTGGCAGTAGGGGGCCAAGTCACTTCATTGTGATTTGCTTTCGTTTCTTGCTGACAGAGGTAGGGCTGCCCTCCCCTGCCCCAGGCCCCTGTTGTGAGAGCTGGGTAGTCTGGCTGTGGCCCCACCTCTTCTCCCGGAGGATGTGAGACAGGATTACTCCATCTTCTGCTCTGCTCTGGCCCCCAATTAAGGGAAGTTATCTCGGGGCCTCCTGGGCCACGGTTTGTCTCGTGGCCAGCCCAGCCCTGCATTCCCTCTGGCTCTGAGTTTCCAACTTTGCCACTTACTGACAGCACCAAAAGCTCCCCCAACAGCTGGGTTAACTGCGGTCTTGCTTACCTCTCCCCGACACAGCCAGGGGCTCCCTATCCCCTACCTCCCCTTTGGCATCCCTAATTCTGTTCTTCTCATTTCTTCTCCTAGTCACTTACTCTTGTTGCCTTAGGCCCCAGTGTCCCACCTTTGTTTCTCTAAAACCCCACTTAGACCGTCGTCACCTGCTGCCCTTCATGACCACAGGCTGGCCTCGTCATCTCACTCCCACATGGCTGCTTTCAGCCCCTCCCCAGCCTTGCGCTTCCTCCCCATGTTCCAGCCACCCGGGTGCCAAGGCCCCGCAGCCTCAGTGACCTCCTCCGTCAGGCTGAGGCTTGGTGAAGTGCAGATCTGGGCACTGGACATCGGTCCACTTGTGTTCCCAGGGCCTCGCTTCCCCATCTGTAAAATGAGAGGCGGGCGATCCAGACGTGCAGCGATATGTGCAGAAGCTTTGAAAAGTGCAAATATCAATGTGAGGTGTTCTTGACACTGGTGCAAGGCTGAAAACCCTGGACTCGGCTTTCCGCTCTGCCCTGGGGTTCTACCCTTGTCCTCTTAGTCATGCCTTTTCCTGGTGTGGCCTCCAGGCTGCTCAGTTGCCCTTTCCCATCTAGAGAGAGGCAGGGCAGTGTCCAGTCCCAGGACTGGTTTTGTTTCCTCGAGCCAACCTCTGGCCCTTTCCAGGCTGTACTTTCTCATTCTATAGTTTAGGAGCTGAGACTGTAGGGTCTTTGAGACCCTTTGTATCTTTCCTTCTCTGGGCCAAAGTGTGTGTCTCCTTCCCTCTTCCAGGCCTCTCAAAACCCTGCCTTCTGCAAGGGCTTCCTAAAACAACCTCAAGCCCTTCCTTGTCCTATTAGAGAGCGAGGACTCGGGTATCCCTGCAGGAGGTGCTATGTCCCTCCCAACAGGGCCTCAAGCAGGGTCTGTGTTGCCCCTGTCAGATTGGAAGTTCCTCATGGGCTCTGACCTGGTGGCTTCTTAGCAGAGTTTGATCAGAGCATCACTGGGTTTAGTCAAAGAGCAACGATAGTCATTGCAAGTTCCCAGTGATGTGAGGGGTCAACAAGTTTTCTCTCCGTTATGGCCATTGTTGTGGCTTTCCACCCGCTCCCTCCTGTGCACAGGGTCAGGGTGACCTGGCATCTTTTCCTTTTTAATGAATGACACAGTGACCTTCCCACCTCAGGCAAAGGGGAGCCACGCTGGTGCCTAGAGGTGCCTCAAAAGCTGCCCACTGTGGGCAGGGGAGAGCCTGAGTGAGGAGCGATGGGAGAGGAGGGAGCGAAACAGGAAGCACAGTGGTCAGCTGGTCAACAAGAGGAGAGGAGGCTGAGAAACTGGGCTGAACCAGATAAAACCTCCCTGTGAGCCCTGCCAAGGGGAGGGGTTACTTATAAAAACTTGTTGGGGCATAGCCAGGCCCCTGGTGGGGGAATGAATGTCTGAGGGGCAGGGAGAGGAGTTGGGTGAAGGGTGGCAGGCGGGGAAGCTGTTGGTGTGTCGGTGGCTGATTCCTCATAAGGAGACCCTTCCCTGGGCTTTGGTTCAGGCCTCCAGCCCCGCACTTGTCACTCCCCTCAGTCCCAAAGTGCCTTCTTGCCTCATCCTGGCCCCACCCATCCCTTAGGCCCCGGACTGGCTTCTCTACTCAATCCAGCCATGGCGTTCCCTGGGCACTGCTCTGCTACAACCAGAGAGGACTGTGGTCAAGGCACAAGTCTCTAGTTTTGCTCCCTGGGAGCTCCCAGCTGGCAGGAATTTTCACAGTGTCAGTAGGTGAGGCAGGCAGGGGAGGTCACAAGTGGAGGGGCTTAAAAAGGGGCGGTGGTGGGCCCTGAAAAGCAGGAGGGGAGCTTGGAGCTTAGCGGTGGGACATCCAGGCAGCAGCTTCATGTCCCACCGGCCCTACTGCCTGGTTTGAGAGACCAGTAGCCTGAGCCTGCAGGCCTAGGAAGGAGCGAACAGTGCTGCAGTTGCTGATTGAAATGTGGGGGTGGGGGTTCCTGCTTCCCACTTCATCCCTTCCAGCCTTAGGGGGATGAGGCCCCTAAGGGTCACACAGCCCATGCGGCTGAACACAGGGTCTCTGGGGAAGGAGGGAGAGGAGTTGGGTGGGTGATAGGATACAAGAGCCTCCCTCTTCTTGTAAAGGGCCCTGATGTCCTCTCTCTGGTCCAGATGGCTCATACTGCCCTGCAGGCAAGCCTTCCACTTCCTCATTCGTCCATCCGGGAAGACCATTTGGGACCATCCAACTTCCCCATTTTTCTTGTCATCCAAAAGTTGGGGAGAGACCCTGAGGTGTACCTCACATTCCAAGGAGCTCCAGGGGCGGTAATGCACAGTAGCTAAGCCCAGAAAGGGCCTAGTTCTAGATTCTGAACCAGGCCCAGGGAGAGAGGTCCCTGGGAGGCAGAGGGAGTGGCAGTGACAACAATAACAACAATAACAACTACCTTTTGCTAACTTTAGGTCTCCTAGGCACGGCTTTGTGTGCCATGTCTTTATCCAGCAGCAAATATTGATTGAGCACTGCCGTGTCCCAGACATTGTCTAGGCGCTGAGGATATAGCAGTAAACAAAACAAAAGTCACTGCCCTCATGGAACGATAATCTTTGCCATTTCTGTATTTATATCTGTCGCCATTTCACAGATAAAACGGAGGCTTCAAGAGACCAAGTGACTTGCCTCTGGTCTGTGTGACTTGGGCTTCAAAGCTCAGATCCCCAGCTGTAGTTCAGAGGGGTGGGGGAACAGTGAGAACCAGGTTAGAAAGCAGGGAGGCCGTGCCCTACCCAGCCCCTGGCAACTCACCACACTTCCATCTGCCTGGGCTTGTCTTTCCAAAGGCAGCTGTGGCCACAGGGTATCCCCTGGGGAGAGGTGTGCTTTTAACTGGGGCCACTTTTTTGAGCTTTATGTAAATTACAAAATAGTCAAAAATTAGGGCTAATTTCCTTCTAGCACCCTCTAGATTCTGACACGCTCTTGATCCCCTCCCCTCCACCCTCCCCTTCACACTCACTACTGTGCAGACCAGTCGCTGAAGCAAAGTGGTTAGCAAGTTGCATGTATTTTTATTTTCATTTCTCAGATATTTCTTGAGCACCCGTTATGTGTAAAGGAACAGTGCTGGGTGCTGGGGACCAGAGGTGAATCTGACCCCACCTGGTAGGCATACACCTGGCACCCAGCTAACCAAGCAGGTGGTTGAGGGGCACAAGATGTCAGTGGCTGGCCTGGAGGCCCCAGGGTGGCTGCCATGTCTTACAGAAGGACTCTGGTCCAAGGCAAATCCCTTGGAGCCCTCACCAGCTGGGGTGGCTGCCCCAAAGTCCTGGACTCGGTGGGGAGGAGCGCAGAGGAGCCTCCTGTTTTGGGGCGGAAGCAGGAACTTCCAAGGGTGGTCTTTAGAAGGGCAGGGGCAGGAGGCAGATTACCACTCTGCCTGCTTCCTCCTCTCATCCTTCCGATTCTGCTTGCATGTCCTCTCCTGGGGGAGGCCTGCACTGTCCTCTCTCACCGGCCAACCCCTTCACTGTTTCCTTTGTAGCATTTCACACTTGTGTTTATGTCTAGGGTGTATTTGTTCAGCTCCTCCTTCCCTAAATTGCCGGCTCTCTGAGGGCAGCGATCCATTATTTTCATTCCTCTCTGCCGGCTCCAGCATCCGTGACATTGCCGGTGCTTAGGACGGCATTTGTTGGCCGGTTGAATGAACACCTGGGAGGCAGAATTGTGAGTTCTGGCTCTGTCCTTCCAGCTGCGTGACTCTGGCACATTACCCCTCTGAGTTTGCTGTGACATGTAGATAATGGTGCCACTGCCTTGGAGGGTAGCTGTATGGACTAGATGAGACAGTGCGTGAAAATGGTGGCTCAGTACAAGGTGGCTGCTGCTAATATTGTTGCTGCTTTATTACTGTTATTTCTAAGAATATTTGCCTTGGGGGTTGTGGGGAAGCTCCCATGGGAAGATATCAGTAGGTACCCAGCAGAGGGGCATGTCCCTAGTTTGGCCTGTGGACTGTGTGTCCCCATGTGGCAGCCCTCATGGTATGTCTGGTGCTGTCTTCCAGGGTGTGAAGGAGGCGGGCGAGAAGCCCCAGCGAGCACGGACGGCGGACAAGGCTGGCTGGATCAAGAAGAGCAGCGGGGGCTTCCTAGGGCTCTGGAAAGACCGCTATCTGCTCCTCTGCCAGGCCCAGCTACTGGTCTACGAGAATGAGGTGAGCACCTGCCTGGCCCTGAGGTTGGGGTGCTGGGGCAGGGGACAAAGTGAGGGCAGCAGGGGGAACCCAGAACCAGGCCTGGAAGATCTGTTCCATGTTTGCCATGCTGTGCAACCCTGGACGAGCACCTGCTCTTCTCGGGGTCTCCGCGGCACGGGACGGTAGCTCCAGATGCTAGTCTAGGGCTCCTGGATGAGGGGCTATTGGAAGTGTATGTGCATAAGGATGAGTGTGTCTTCTCAGGGGCAGGCCTACACTGCAACTCCCTGGCCCTGGGGTAGGTTCCACATATGTGAATGTTCCAGAAAACTAAAGCTTGCTCCATTTATCAATGATAATGGAAATAATACTTATCACTCATGTGTGTTTAGAGCTCTCGTATGACACTCTCCACAGTCCCATGAGTGCAGTCATCATGTCATCAGAGATGGATCTACAGAGATGGATCCTGGGGCCGAGGGTGGCCAAATGACTGCTCAGCCTCTCAGTGAATGAAGGAGCCGGGTCTAGAACCGAATCCAGTGCTCTTTCCACTCACTGATGCCAGCAAATAAACTCCACAGCCTATTTTGGGTGGACGTTCTCTAAAGCATATTGAATATTCTCTGCCTTCTTCATAAGGATGCGCCAGCCTAAATTGAGTCTTTCCTTGTGGCTCGGAGTCACTTATAATCAGACTGTACTTTTCATCTTGTCTTTCTCCTTTAACATCGAGCTACCAGTTGCTACTTTGCCATTTCTGCTGTCCTTGTGCCTCTCACAGTCCTCACATTTTCCCACTGCAGGCTGGCGCCCTATCTCATTTCAGCAGGCTTGGAACCTGGACAACAAGGGTGCTAAAATTGGGGTTAAGAGTTGAAAAACCTCTTGGTGACGACCTGAGGAGGAAAGGTCTTTTACTTATGATGTGTGTGTCCTGGGGTTGGGGCTGTAGAGGGCCCACCACTGAGCATGGGCTGTCACTGTATGCCTCCCACAGATGGAACACGCCGGGAGAACGGCCTGGCGGCAGAAAGAGCATCCTGCCTGTTCCTCCTCAGCCTCTCAGCATGCCTCGGGGTATCTTGGCAAATCCGTAATTGTCCCAGGCCAAGAAAGATTGGGCGCCGGGTCTCCGTGATTAAAGGAGCTACCCTTGAGGAGCACTTTGCCTGTCCGTCCCGAGGCCTAGGCTCATGGAGCTGGGGTGTCAGAGAAGCAGCTGGATGGGTCGTTCAGACAGCCCCCCAGATGGTCTGTACCACTGCTCTCACCAAATGAGGATGCGCTGTGGTGGCAGCAGGGGGATGTTTTTATAAATAAAGGGTGTTGTCAAGCTTTCTCCAGTCCCAGCTGCCTAAGAGTTGAGTGACAGGTCCCCAGCTGCCAGCCTGTCAGGCACTGCCAGACTTGTCCTGGGCTGCCCCTCCACATCTGGCCACAGCTGGGAAGCAGGAAGGAGCTTGCATCCCCTAGACATGAAAAACCTAAATCACCCTTTTAAAATAATCACTATTAAAAACCTCAGTTGAAGCTTCAGGAACTTCACCCTCTCAGGGGTGGGGAGCTTGGCCCAGGAGTGGGAATTGAGAAATGCTTATTAGTTCAATTCCTCTTTCTTGATGTAAGGAACTAGGCTAATGCGAATGGCTCTTGGCTGTCTCTTTGCTGTCAGTGAGGTTGACATTCCAAAAATGCTGCCCCCGCCCAGCGCCTGCTGGGTTATCTGTTTTTCTGGGCTGCAGAAGGGCCAGATGATTCAGCGATTCGGGTGGGGAGGAGACCCAGGACAGACAGCGGTGGGGAGCTGGGTGTGGAGATGAACCACCTTTGTGTCTGGGTCAGTAGTTGTCCAGCTGGGGAAGCATGTGCACGTGGGGCAGGTGACCTGCACCTTCTGCAACTGGGGGTCCTTTTCTAGGCAGCCCCCTTCCTCTGGATGCCCAGTAGGGGAGGACTTCCTGGGGTCTCACTCTGAGTCAGGCATTCAGTCCAGCAACTGGTCCTAAATACGTTGCTCTTGAGCTGCTCCTTTGTGGGGCAGGGCATTATAGGGAGAACAGAAAGGAGAGCAGACATGGGCAGCATAGGGTAGAGAGTGATGGCCCCGCAGGAAGTTAGGACTGTTCTTCCCATGGCAGAATGTCCCTAGCATCTAATTGGGTGCCTGCACACCCGGCAGGTGCTTTGTGGATGGGGGACCTCAAAGGAGCAAGGGAGCACCAAGGGGTGGGCAGTGGAGCTGCCTGGACCAGGTGGATTGTGCTACCCCTGTGTTGCGTGGAGAAATGTGGAAGGGATTAGAGACTAGGGCAGCGGTCGGCAAACTCATTAGTCAACAGAGCCAAATCTCAACAGTACAACGATTGAAATTTCTTTTGAGAGCCAAATTTTTTAAACTTAAACTATATAGGTAGGTACACTGTTATTAACTTAATTAGGGTACTCCTAAGGCTTAGGAAGAGCCACACTCAAGGGGCCAAAGAGCCGCATGTGGCTTGTGAGCCGCAGTTTGCCGACCACGGGACTAGGGGGGTTGGAAAGAGATGTGCATAGGCAAAAATGGGAAAGACACCTGATTGAATCTGGATGGGGAATTTCAAGCTGCCTGGCCACATGTTCCCCTTTCCCTCAGGGGCTGAAGGGAGGGTTCATCAGTGGTTATCCTCGTTAGCTGTACAGTCACCTGCTTTGAGAAAGTTTCATGTGTGGGCGCCACCCCCCAGGGATCCTGATGTAGTTGATCTGGGATGTTGCCTGGGCATTGGGATTTTTTTTTTTTAATCCTTACCTGAGGATATGTTCCCATGGATTTGAGAGAGAAAATATTGATGTGAGAGAGAAACATCAATTGGTTGCCTCTTGTACGTGCCCTGACCGGGGATCGACCCCACAACCCAGGCATGTGCCCCAACTGGGGGACCTGCGACCTTTTTTGGTGTATAGGATGATGCTCCAATCAACCAAACCGCCGGCCAGGGCTGGAGATTGGGATTTAAACAAAATTTTTTTAAATTGATTTCAGAGAGGAAGGGAGACAGAGAGGGAGATAGAAACATCAGTGATGAGAGAGAATCATTGATCAGCTGCCTCCTGCACACCCCATACTGGGGATCGAGACTGCAACCTGGGCATGTGCCCTGACCAGGAATTGAACCATGACCTTCTGGTGCATAGGTCGATGCTCAACCACTGAGCCACGCCAGGCGGGTGGCACTGGGATTTTTAAAGGTCCCAGGGCCACCAAGGTTGAGAAACAGAGGTTCTCAAACTTTTGTATACATTAGAATCAGCTGGAGGGCTGTTAAAACTCAGATTTCCCCTAAGATGATGATTCATTAGGAATGGAGCCAGAGAATTTGCATTTCTAACAAGTTCTCAGGTTGTGCTGCTGCTGCTGGACCAGCTACCACACTTGGAGGACCCTGGTGCAGAGCAACCTGTTGCTAAGGCACTGCCCATGCCTGCCTCTGCCCCTGGCAGGGAGGAGAGCGCTGTGCTGGGAAGAGCTCTGGCCTGGAGTCAGAGGGTGTGGGGTTGAGTTTGGCTCTGGCCCCTTATGTTTGGGTCTGTGCTCCTAGGGCAAATCAGTTCACCTCCAAACCTCATTCTCTTCCTCTATAAAATGAGGCAGGGGATTGGTTCTAGGACCCTCGTGGATACCAAAATCCATGGGTGCTCAAGTCCTTCATATAAGATTTCCATCTTATAGTGTTTGCATATAACCTACACACATCCTGTCATATACTTTAAATGATCTCTAGCTACTTACAATACCCAATGCAATGTAAATACTGTGTAATTAGTTGTTTAGGGTATAATGGCTATAAAGAAATGTCTGTACATGTTCAGTCAAGAAGCAACCACGGGTAGGCCTAACTTCATAGTTACATGTCAGCAACAATGTAACTTTCCCCCACACATGTTTCTGATTCGAGGTTGGTGGAATCTGTGGATGTGGAACCCTGGGAAACAGTATAGGCAGGTTCATGGAGGGAAATGAGGCCATTTCCTCTGCAGATATTTGAATCACTGCTTCCCAGATATTCCCCCCAAACTGCAGAGCACAGAGAGGTCCCGGGTGGGTGCTCTTGCTGGCAAGAAGGGAGTCTCGCTGGTGTCCAGGAGTGGCCTAGAGGAGGCTGACCGCTGTCCTGGCCACTGGGCCTTCTATTGATGGGGCCTCAGGATGACAGCCTGGGGTGGGGTGCTCTTAAAGGGGCCATTGCGCTCTCCATTGTGCAGGCCATGGAGAGTGGCCTCTCTCCCCAGCCCAGGGTCAGCAGTGGAAGATGCCAGTAGAGAATCAAGTCAGGTCACTGTGGTGAAGGCAGGGATGTCGCCCCGAGCATGCCTTGTTCACGCTTCCCTCTGTGGCTCTGCCTGGAAAGCCTTTTTCTTTCCTTTTTTCATTTTGTGACAGCTTGCTCCCTCTTCCAGGCTAACTTTCCGCACATCTCTACCTGGTCTCTGGGCCTGCGTGGACCCCCAGGCACCCTTTCTAAGCCTCTCCAGCTTCCCAGGTTTCCTCCTACTGCCTTAGGAACATTCAAGTCAGCCCTGTTCCCCATCTCCGGATGGTGAGCCCCATCTCTCACGTGCATTGTGAGCCTTGAGCGTGTCCCTCCAGCCAGCACAGACTGAATGCCGGGGACTGAATATCTCATCTTGGTGATTGATTGGCAGGCTGGGGTCCCCCTCTGCCCAAGTGATGTCCTCATTGGATGGAACCAGGGTCCGAGGCGGGACCTGGGTGTCTGAGAGTCTGGGTGTGTCCTGCTCTCACCATTTCATGTCCCCTCTATCTCTCCACAGGACGAGCAGAAGTGTGTGGAGACAGTGGAGCTGGGCAGCTATGAGAAGTGCCAGGACCTGCGTGCCCTCCTCAAGCGGAAACACCGATTTATCCTGCTGCGATCCCCAGGGAACAAGGTAGGGCTGTGCCAGCTGGGCCTGACCCTCCTCCAGGCTGGGTCTGCTTGGGAAGATCATCCCTGGAGGCTTCCTAAGACAGGCTGGGCCCCGGGATGCAGTCCACGCATTCTCTGTGGAGTGTGCCTGAGGCTCAGATCTGGGGCTGCCACAGGTGGGACCTTTTGCGCGTTTCGACTTGGAGTCTTCCCAGCCCCTGGTTGTAGGAGATGCGTGTAGAGCTCTGCTGAGAGCTCTGCTCCCCTCTTCCCTTCCAGGCCCTGGGGCCTCCTCCCAGGCTGCGGTTGGAAAGTAGCCTTTGGGAGGTGGGGCACTTGGCTTTCTCCCACACCCTGGACACAGGAGGCCCAGGGATGAGGCAGGAAAGCTGAGGATGAGGCCTGCATCCCACCAGACCTCTGACCCTGTGACACAGTCTGGGCCAGAGGGGAAGGAGCGGCCTCCCCATTATCCCAGGCTTCCTGGGTGGGCCCTCTATCCTGGACTCAGGCGGTGGAGACATGCAGCCTCCCAGCTGCCCTCCCTTGCACGCTCCTCTGGCTAATGCTGGAGAGTCTCCTGCCCAAGAGGTTCTCCCCCTGGGACATGCTCTGTGTACAGATGAGGTTGCTGTTTGCACCACATGTCTCTGGCACGCAGTCCGGGTGAGTGACGCTGGCGTAGTTTCACACATGTCAGGAGGGAGTCAGATTGAGGTTGGCGTGTACAGTACCTCTGGCCAGATCTCCCCCTCTGCACTGGGTCACGCCTCTCCCGACCTCTGCACGTCATGTGGAGCCTCCCAGAGTGGGGCTGAGTCACCGATGCGGGGGGTTGGGGAGCGGGTCTGACCTGGGCCTGCTGGAGGCCATTCTGTTTCTTCCCCAGCTTTCAGGCCAGGAGCCCAGTCCTCGGTGGCTCTGGGCCTTGGAGGCCATGCTGTTCTACTCACTAATCCTTGGCCCTGCTCTGCCTGGGTGAGGGCAAAGAAGCAACTGTAGGCAGGGCTCTGACTCTGGGATTGGGGGTGTGCCCACGGGGGCGGGGGGCAGGTTTATAGTGTCATGAGGGTTCATGGGGCTGGGCCCAGGTTTCACGTGGTATCTGCTACTTAGGGCTCTGTGAGAAGAGGAGAACTGTATTTTGGTCTCTCGGGCCAGGAGCCCTTATCCTGCTGGGGAGGCCTGCTTTCTCTCTGGTGGGCACTGTATTTGTGCATGTGTGTTTTGAGAGACATGGAGTTCATTATGTGTTAAGGTCTGCACCTGTGTGTACAGTGCACGTGGGTGCACCTCTTTGTGTTCACCTGGCCACGGTCTGTTCGGGTCTTTGGGTGTCTCTTAGTGAGCGTATGTGGACGTGGAGTGGAGGGGACCTGGCTTCTGTCCTCTGCCAATCCTGGGCCCCTCCTTTCTCCTGTTCTGAGGATCAGCTGGCGGTGGGATAGGTGGGCCAGGCCCAGTGCAGGGTGGGACATCACCTTCGGAGAAGCCTGTTTGTGTATCTACCTTCTCACCTGCTTCGGCCAACACCTCCCTTCCATTCCCCAATTCTTCAGAGTTCAGGTTGGCTCAGGGTGACCCTGGGAACAGGGTGATCAGTAGGGAGTGTGCTGTGGAGCAATGGGTGGGGGCTGCAGAGCAGTGGGAGGACAGTACGCCCTGCTTCCAACTCAAGGGCCCCCTGACCCTCGCCACCCCAGGAGCTCACACAGACAGTGGGAGCTCTCCAGGGGGCACACGGGGGACCACCCAGAGTACCACATCCCCCGCATCCTCTCACCCTCCTTTCCTATCGCCCTGGGTGTTCCCCATCCTCAGTGACGCTGCCCTCTGGCTGGGAGGTCACATGACCCCGGCTGTCTGGTCCTGAGGCCGCCTGTTTTTCCTTCTAATCAAATAAACAAAGACTCCAGTGTCTTGCATGCCCCTCTCCCCCGTCTCCCCATCCCCACGCCCCTGCCATGAGGTCACAGGCAGACGCTGCCAGGAAGCGGGGTGGCCCTGCCGGGCCTTGCTGCCTGCTGGTCCCAGCCAGCTTGGCCCTTTCCTTTTCCTGCCTCCCCTCCCCTCCCACTTTCTGCCCCTCTGCCATTTTGTCCCCCCCGCCTTCCCAGGCCAGTGTGGGTCTATGCTGTGGCCAGACTTGTTAGCTCCTAAAGTCCTTTCTCCTGGGGCTTCTTGGCTGGAGAACTTGGGTGGAAACCTGTGTAGCCTGTGGCTCCTCAGGACATGGGGGTGGGGGTGGGGCAGGAGGAGCAGCTCCTTGGTATTCTGCTTATCCCTGTTCTGATCACCCTGTGGGATGCCTGGCTCATTCAGCAGAATCACAGGGTTCCTGAGGGTGGGGCTGGGTCCCGTTTCACCTTGTATTCCTTCTCCTGGGGTGGCCCTTTGGCCTACACCCTCCTCCCTGCAGCCTGCCTCAGGGGGCTGGCCAACAGGAAGGCCAAGTTTGGGTTGGGTTCAGTGGTTCTGCACTTGTCCCATTGAGGCCCCAAATGAAAAGACTTATGCAGGGTGCCATTGCAGGTTGGTGAGACCAGAACTCTGATCTCGACTCCCAGGCCAGTGGTCTTTTTCGCCCCACTCTTGCTGCATTTACTGCTGTATTCAAGTACTTACATGCCTCCCAAGCTCTCTGGGATGTTAAGTTCTGCACCAGGCAGGGGCCCACCAATCAGGGCCTGCGAGCAGGAACAGCAGCTGGCTCAGAGGCACTGGCCCTGGTCCACCTTTTCACAGCCCCATCCCAGGGCTGGGTGGGCCCTCGCAGAGCCTGGATGCAATGCTGCTCCTCCCTGAGCTCCCAGCAGCCCTGATGGCTGGGCTAAGAGGCAGTTGCCAAGGTGCCCTAGGGTTTCTGACTTAACTGCAGATCTGCTGCCAGGATCGAATTTACCCTGGTCATGCAAATGAGCATTTGGCTGTGCCTGGCATGGGGGGGCGGGTGGGACCCGGGGCCTGGTATGAAGAGAAGCGGGAGGCAGCCAGGAGGAAGTTATATAATGAGGATGCTGAGGGGCCGGGGGGACTTTGGTGTTACATAACTGGGAGAGTGGTGGGAAGGAAGGCGCTAACACCAGGGCAGGGGGGATGGGCAGGCTGGCGACCCGCCCAACAAAGAAGTAGGGCATCTTGAGGTCAGAGAGTGGGCAATGGCCCAAAAATGGGGTAAGGGAAGGAACCTTGGGCTATTTGTTTATTGGCTCATTCATTCGTTTATTGGCTCATTCATTCAGTAACTATTTACTGAGTACCTACTATGTGCCGGGCCCTGGCTTGAGTCAGGTTGGATTCCCTCAGCATTTTTTCCAGGTGAGAAAACTGGGGATATTTTGTCCAGAAGGAAGGCCATGGTGATAATTTCTACTACTGAGCACTCTATGCCCAACTCCAGATTTAACACTACATGTCAGCGACCCTCACAGCGCCATAGGCAGGTCAGGGTGGTGGTCTCCTTTTACAGACGAGGAAGCTGAGGCTCAAGGTCAGCCAGCTGTAAGTGGTGGTTTGTCTAGTTCAGACCCCACTGCTGTGTCCACCATGCAAAGCAGCCCCTCAGTTTGCATGGCCTCGCTCCTTCCATCATTTTCTGTCTGGCCTTGGGGCCTGGCAGGCGGGGGGCAGGGGGCTCTCTGAGCTGCCCTCTGATTCTAATATAGGAGCTTGGAGCTCCTGCCCGAGATGGAGAGGGACCTGTGGGGTGGGTGGCATAGGGTCTGGAGTCAGGAGTCATGGGATTACTTTAGGCCACCGTGGTCAAATCCCCTCCCATCTGGTGAGCCTCTGTTTCCCCATCTGTAGAATGAGGAGGTTGGGAAGGACCCCAATGCCCTTTCTTACCATCTATGATTCAAGGCCAGAAAGGAGGCCCTGGGACTTTGTTATCTGTGGCCAGGACTGCTGTGGGGCCCACTGGGGAGCTGAAGGTGATTCTGGTTCCAGTGGCCTTCTCCATGGACACCCTCATGCTTGTCACCTCTGTCACCTCAGTCCCAGGAGACTGGGACTACTCCTGCTTCAGAGAAAACAAGCCCAGAGGTCAGGCAGCTGGCAGGGGCCAGACCTGAGCTCCCTCCCCAGGGCAAGGCTGACTCCAATCTAAGTCTGACAGCTGCACCAGGGGAGAGCCCTTGCTCAGCTGGACCTGTCCACCCCGTTCCCCTGAAGCCCCAGTGGGGGGTCGTTGTGGTTTGCTCCCAGCCAGCTGTGCATGGCCCACCTTGGATTTGGGGTGGGAGCTTCCTTCAGACCCCAATGTGAGCCAGGTTTAACATCTGCCCTCTACCCCACCCATGCCCCCTGCAGGTCAGCAACATCAAGTTCCAAGCACCCAGTGGGGAGGAGAAGGAATCCTGGATCAAAGCCCTCAATGAAGGGATCAGCCGAGGCAAGAACAAGGCTTTCGATGAGGTGCGATGAAGTCCTGTGGACAGACAGCTCTGTGTCCCCTTCCCCCCTGTGAGCTCAGGGACCCTGCCCAGCCTCACCTCAGACGACCCCTTGATTATGTCGCTGCTACAAACTGGGCCATGCTATTGTTACCTCATGTAATCCTCACAACACTCCTCAAAGTAGGTGGTGGCATTCCCACTTTACAGATGAGGAAACTGAGGTGTAAGGAAATTAAGTTACTTGTTAAAATGGGTAAGTGGTGGGGTAGAATTTAAAGGCTTGTAGACCAACAGCAGGTGGGCCCAGCCAGAGAGGTTTGGGGGGTGAGCTGAAAGCCAGAAAGCTCACTTTTCAGTTTGGCCATGAAGTGGAAGCCAGGCTGGCTCTAGCCCTGGGCCTCCCTATCTGCCTGCAGTGGCCACCCACCCCTGTGCTGTAGTGGTGACGGTGGCCACAGTGGCCACAGCCAGGCTTGGGACAGGCAAGGTGTCCCCCGAGACCAGATCTCCTAGGGAGGGTCATCTTTGACAGCGTGGGTTTGTAGCTATTTGGGCTAAAATGGTCCTGGAGGCTGCTTGGGGTGGCCCCGGGATTGCAGAGGTCTGAGACCCGAGGGGGGCAAATTTTCCCAAGGCTCCTAGTTCATGTCGCAGTGTGACTGGCATGCTCGGTGCTTCACCAGCTGGGAAAATATTCCCCTTTTGTGGGGCGGGCGATGGGAGCATGGGCTGGGCCTCAGCCCACAGTCTGGGTGGAGTGGGGTCAGCTCCTCCTCTGAGGAACAGGAACAGTTGGACCCCAGGTAGCCTGAGCCCTGAGCCTCACCTGGGGGCTGGACAGTTTTAGCCCCCCCACCCCCCGCAAAGGGACAGGCTGCTCCGGGCTCAGAGTCTAGATTTCCTGTGTGGAAATCACTCTGTGTCTTCCTGGGCTAGTCCTCACCCTTTTCCTTACCTCAGAGAGGAGATGCTGCCTCTGGACGCTCGGGCCCAAGGGTCCTGGGGGAGCAGCTGGGGCCAGGGAAGCCTGTTCTGGAAGCAGACACCAGGGCATCATGGGCTAACTCCTCGCCGTCCCCAGCTAAGCCCAAAGGCAGCCTCGGGGCCACTTACATTTCTGCAGTGGACCGAGGGGCAAGGGCTGAGAGCCCATATTGGGGCTGGAAGACTGAGCCCAGAGAGGGCGGCTACAGAGAGGGGGAGAGCCTCGGCCTGCAGCGCGATGACAGAGGCAGTGCAGAAGCGGAGAGCAGAGGTCGGACATGGGGGGATGCTTCAAAGAGAGGCAGCGATGGGGCTCTGACCCTGTGAGTGAGGATGGGGGTACAGACTCTGGCTTTGAGTTAACACCTGGGCATTTCCTTCTCTCCCCAAGGCTTGGTGGGGACTGACCTGGTTCCTTCTCCTTCCCAGATAAAGGTGGACAAGAGCTGTGCGCTGGAGCATGTGACCCGGAACCGAGTGCGTGGGGGCCAGCAGCGCCGGCCACCTACGAGAATCCACCTGAAGGAGGTAAGACTTTGCCCGCAGCTTGGGCAGATGGGAGGTCAGCTGAGCCCGGGACCAGCTCCTTAGGATGGCAGCCAGGCTCGGGCCCCCTTTTTCCTGAGGACGCCTGGCGCTGGGGCCTCCTGAGCCGTGTGCGGGGTCTGAGTGCAGGCACATGTGTTAGCCGTGCTCAGCGTGTAGGTGTGCCTACTGCACTGTGAGTCCACACACCAGCCTCAGCCAGTTGGTGCCTGAGGGAGACAGACCCCAAGTGGTCTGTGCCTCTCAGAGTCAGCTCCCAGCTGGAGAAAGACATGCAAGCAGCGCTGTGTCTAGTTTTTGCACAGAGGACCCCCTGGCATTGAGCAGCCCTGGAAGGGTGGAGAGGATTTCAATTGGCAGATGTGGTGCGAGGGAGGTGCTGGTGGAGGGAATGGTGTGAGCTGAGGCAGGAGGCAGGAGAGTGCAAAGTGTGCCAAGTCCCTTGGGGAGATGTTTCAGAGAAGGTGGGGTCGGGGGAGGAAATTGGGAAGACCTTGAATGCCGGAACTGAGGACAGGATGGTGGGAGGGTGTGTTCCAGAGGTCAGTTTGAGGCCCAGGGTAGCAGGGGTTTGGATGGAGGGAAGGAAAGGTAGGGGACCAGGAGGAAGAGGAGCAGTGGGGGCTCCAGGCTCCCAGAGGGGTTGAAAAGGGAGGGGCCAGTGGGAGAGAGACTGGGAAGCAAGAGTCCGCCCGGCTTGTGAGTGACGGCAGGCTGGGGAAGGTGCACTAGACAGAGAAGGAGGGTTGTCAGAGGAGCCTCCACGCCTGGAGGCTGGGCAGTTTAGAGGCCCTGGGCACAGGGAATTTGGGAGAAGATATGGGCAAGGGGAGGGGTGACCGAGGAGCCCCTTTCAGATCGTTGGGGTGCATGGTGGGGTGGTAGAGACCATGGAGGTCAGGAAAGAACCTCAGCACATGCCACATTTGGGGACTGAGGGGCAGTAAAGAGCCAAGGAAGAGGAGGCCAGGAGGCGAGTGGCACATCCAGGGGGAGAAGGGCATAGGGCCCTAGGTCATCAGCCAGGTTGGCAGCCACAAGGCACAAGGGCGGGTGAGAGACAGGTAGGTGGTAATGCTTACAGCATATTCTCTCAGGGGGGTCAGTTTGGGACCATCCTGGGGTGCAGAGCTAAGGGTGCTGGAGTGGGAGACCAGAGGAAGACAGAAGGGAAAGGGAAGGGGCCAAGGTCGTCAGAGAGTTTGCTTTGAGGTGAGGCAGCCTGTTCATGTCTGTCAGCCGAGGGGAAAGCTGCAGAGGGAAGGACTGAAGTAACCAGAGGGGCAAGGCGTACCTGAGGGGGGAGATCTAGGAGGTGCGGGGAGGGCCAGCTGGTTCAGGGAGGGAGTCTCATCCCAGTGACTGAATGTGTGTGTCGCCAGTTCACCTGTGTGCGTGTAAAGGGGAGTGAGGGTCCCCGCCAGGACCCCACCATCTGAGGGACCAGGGAGGGGCCTGCTGCCCAGCCCTGCTCTCAGGCCCTGGGGCTCCCTGGGAAGGTCCCCAGGACCAGGTGTGGCTGCTGGGTGTCCCTACGGAGCCCTGGGCCAAGTTGGTGGCAGCTGTCTGCTTGGTGCAGCTGTTCCCCTCTGGCAGTCAGCTGTAGTCCAGGGCTGCCTGTGCCTGGGGCCACATCGGACCATGTGAGGAGAGTGGGCACAAGCTGCTGAGCAGCTGGGCAGGCGAGGGCTGGAGAGATCTGGGCCAGAGGGCTGGGTGTAGGGCTGGCAGCCTGGACAGAGGTCTCCAGGGAGGGGAAGCAGAAGTGAGTGAGCGCACACCATGCTGGAGACTTATATTGAGTACTGGTCCTGACACCTACGGGGTGGGTGGGTGCAGAGAGGGAACCCTCTCAAGGCCATACAGCCAGGAAGGGTCAGAAACAAAGCTGGAACCATGTGCCCGGCTGCCCAGGCCAGGACAACCGCTACTAAAAAGAGCGGCCACTTTCCTTGGCTGGAAGAAGCCGGCCGGGGCACCGAGAGGACAGCCTGGCTCTGACCTCTGGCCTGTGATTCTGACACAGGGAATTCTCCAAGTGAGAGAGCAGAGGATTCATCAGAGGGCGTGGAAAGGGGCCTGGGGACCTGGGCAGCCTGGAGGGGAGGGCTTTAGGACCCTTGTGGGCAGGCACATCAGACCCAAAGGCTAGTCGTCCATGATGATGTCCATATGCTGCCCCCACCAGGTAGCCAGCGCAGCTTCTGATGGGCTTTCTCGCCTGGACCTCGATGCTCTGGACAGCAGGCCGCCAGTGCTTACCCCCGGCGATGACGACAACGCAGCCCCGCCCCGGGAGGCCCTCCGGCCCCTCCTGCCTCCTGCCAAGCCTTCCCCAGCTCCCGAGGTGACCGCCCTTGGTGACAGAGGGGAGACCCCTGTAGGGGAGAGAGCCCCAACCCCTGTCTCAGCAAGCTCTGAGGCGCAGCCTGAGAGCCAGGAAGACGCAGAGACTGCAGTGGGGGAGGACAGCTCCTCTGAGCAGCTCCCCAGGGTCCTGCCTGAAAAACTGAAGGTGAGCTGGGACAACTCCAGCCCCGAGGAGCCCCCTGTGCCTGAGAGCTCGGAACCACCCCACGTGCCCTGTTCTGAGACTTCCGAGTCTTCGATCAAGGAGGGTGGGAAGCCCCCTACGCCCCCACCCAAGATCCTATCGGAGAAACTGAGAGCCTCCATGATTGGGGTGGAGGCTTCCGGGCCAGCCCGGAGTCCCGGGGCCTCTGAGACCTCTGCCCCAGGCTCAGCGCAGGTCTCAGTGAATGGCATGGACGACAGTCCTGAGCCTGTGGAGCCATCCCAGGCTGCTGGCACTCCGGGAATTCCCCCGGAGAACAAAACCGCTTCTACAGCGTTCCCCTGGGAACTGCCGCCTCAGAGCCAACCCCGCCGCTCCTCCATGGGGGACCTGCTTGGGGAAGGCCCCCGGCGTCCACAGCAGCGGCTGTACCGGGCCCAGCTGGAGGTGCAGGTGGCCTCAGAACAGACGGAGAAACTGTTGAACAAGATGCTGGCCAGCGAGCCGGCCCCGGTGAGCGCCGAGACACTGCTCAGCGAGGCCGTGGAGCAGCTGAGGCATGCCACCCAGGCCCTGCAGGAAATCCGAGATCTCGGAGACCTGAGCCAGGAAGCACCGGGGCTGCGGGAAAAGCGGAAGGAGCTGGTGACCCTCTACAGGAGAAGTGCACCCTAGGGCCTGCCGGCCGGGGCAGGGTCCCTCCTGCCTGCCCTGGTTCATCGAGCCCAGCCCTGCCAAGAAATGTGCTTCTGCCCAGGCTGTTGAAGGGCCATCGGACATGTCAGTGTTTGGCCAGGACCTGCAGAGGCTCCGGGCATCCTTCCTGCCTGGCCTTGGCCAGCGGTGCAGGTGTCACCCAGGACCACTGCCTGGCTAACTGGCCTGGCCTCCGGGCCCTGGCTCGGGCTGGGAGCACACACTCAGGACCTCTGTGCTGGCATGGTTGTTCCAATCTGCCCCAGGGCTTTGGCACAGCACTCGGGGCTCTGGGGGTGGCATCATCTCTGCTTCTCACCCCCCGTAGTTTACATTCCTGACTTCTGAATAGAGCACAGCTGAGCCCCCCACAGCCTCTATGTCCAGATACTCCCAGGCAGACAGCCTCCTAGCAAAGGCAGCTTCAGGTCGTAACCAACCCTTCTGCCCGCCTATTCCCAGTAGCTGCTGAGGCCTTGGGTCCAGGCTGTAGGTTCATCCCTCAGCTGAAAGCCCCTGAAGGCAGGTCAGAGGCAGGTGTGAGAAAGCCATTTGCCATGTGGCCCCTCTCTGGGCCTTCCTGTTCTGCGGGCCTCCCCTGGTGAGTGTGGCAGGAGGACTCCTGGGTGGAGGAGGAACCTGAAAGGTCTCCTAGTCTAGTCCCTGCCTCTGGACCAGCTTGTGTCCAGCCCCACGCATTCCTCTACAGGTGAACTTCAGAACGGCCCGACGTCATCGTCAGAAAATCCTGTATGCGATTCATTCTAAATCCGCCTTCAGGAGAGAAACTGCCCCAACTTCTGTGCCTCCCCAGATGGGATTTCTATCTGGGTCTCTGTGGTTCCTCCACAACCAAACAGGTCCACTATCCTAGTCATTTATTCTTACGCTGAGGGGTATGTTGGGATCTGAAACCACATCCTCTCCCCACCGCCGCTCACCCCTCTGGCTCAGGCCCCGGATGGGCTGCGCTTCCTGAGCTTCTAGTGGAAGGAGCATTTTCTCCTGGCCTGGGCCAGCACCCTGGGCCTCTCCCGAGCCCCTCCCTGACTCCAGGAGCACATCTGCTCTCCATCCTGCTGTGGCAGCTGGACTGAGGGCAGAGCCTGTAGGTGCAGAGCCCCTGAGGGCTGCAGCCACTTTCCCTGGGGCTTGTGGGAGCGGGAGCAGCTCCTGACAGGCTTGCTCAGGGGGTTCTGCCTGTGCACTTTTGTTTACTGAAAGAGAGGAGAGGGAGGGCCACAGCCGTGTGCTCTGGCCTTTCTGCCCACCACCTGCCTCCGCCACCAGTAGTGCCCATGAGGCCTGCCAGTGCAGGCCGATGCCTTCTTTACTGTACTTCTACCTGTTTTTGAGGGTAGTAGCCAGGGGTCAGCAGGGGCCAATAGAGGTCCACTCTGTAGCCTGTACTGGGCAGGCATGGGTGTGAGCAGCAATGCCATGGCTCATGAGCCCCCGTGGGTCTCCCCAAACCACACTCTTTGGAAAAACTAGGCTTCCCGGCCACATTCTGCCTGTCCGTCTCTCTCCAGTGTGGGAGCAAGAACACCATCAAGTACCCACAACCATGTGGCCCCTGTGGTCTTGCTTTGGGGAACGGCCCTCCTGTGAGGGCTGCCGGGCTTTAGCCCATCACCTGTTTCAGGGGCAGGAGCCTCCATTTCTCCTCTGATAAGTGACCAGGAGGAGCTCTGGGGCAACCTTAGTGGCCTAATGCCATTGGCTCCTGTAGGGTCCCTAGACCTGGGCAGCCTGGGCCCCAAGCGGGGAGGCTGCTTCCAGGGAGGAGGATGGGAAATTGGCAGGGGCTGCCTTGCCTGCCTCCGGAAGGAGGGTGGCATTCCATGTCTTCTGCTTATGAAGCGCCTTTCTTGAAGTTCGGCAATAAATCCCTTTTTATGGAACTTTTCTGCCGCAAGCCTGTTTGTTGGTGTGGGACCAGCTCCAGGGCTGACCTCAAGGAGCAGGGGTAGGAGGTTGGTCGGTGGCCTCGCCGGTCCTCCAAACCCCGTGCTAGGGCATCCTTCCCATAGGCCGGGCGGGGGCGTCGCCCTACACCGTGCTCCCCCTTTGCTATGTCACCACACATTTATACAGGCTGGGGATGTCAGGAACAATGCTTTTCAATGTTTAAAAGCTTTATTTGGAAATTGCAAACAGAAAGGTTGCAAGAGTAAGAATAGCACATAGAACACCATTACACTCATACCCTGATGGACTCATTGGTTTATTTTTTGAGCCTTTCACTTTTTAACATGTACACACAATTTTTTTCTGAATCATTGGAGAATTATCATGGTCCCTTACCGCTGAATACTTCAGTGTGTATTTCCTAAAAATAAGTGTATTCTCTTATGTAACCATAGTATAGTTATCAATTTCGGAAAACTCAACGCCAGTATGATAGTTACTATTCATATTACAATTTTGTCATATGACCCAATAATGTCCTTTATCATACTTTTCCTCTAGGGTAGGGTTGGATATTGCTAATGCATACATGTCTCTTTAGTCTCCTTTAATCTGAAATATTTCCACAGCTTTTATCTTTCATGACATGGACATTTTTGAAGGACACAGTCCCTCCTCTTATTTTTTTTTAATCCTCACCAGAGGATATGCTTTTTATGATTTTAGAGCAAGGAAGAAAGAGAGAGAGAGAGAGAGAGAGAGAGACACTGATGGAGAGAAATATCCATTGGTTGCCTCCCCGTATGTGCCCTGACTGGGAATCAAACCTGCGATCTTTTGGTGTACGAAGGACACTCCAATCAACTGAGCCACCCGGTCAGGCCCCCACCTCCCTTTTTAATAGAACATTCCTCACTTGGGGTTTGTCTGAGTTTCCTCATAATTAGATTGAGGGTATGGATTCAGAAAACTGCACAGGTGCTCCTAAGTCCTTCTCAGGGCATGACATCTGAGACACATGCATCCATCAGCCCTTCATTGATGATGTTAATTTTGATCACCTGGTCAAGGTGTCTGATTTCTCTACTGGAGAGTTATAACTGTTCTCTTGTAACTAATAAACAATCTGGGAGACATCTCATCAGATACTAGTATACCCCGTAGATTTAGCTTCCATCGAGAATGCTTGTTTGCACAGGTGTTTCCTATGATGGTTCAAAATGATTCCAACTGTTATTTTAACTCGGAACCTCGTTGTGGTTAGGGGTGAGCCTGGGCCCCGCCTTATGCCAATGGTACCCCTAATACATCTCAGCAGGACCCCAGGACTTCACTGAGTGTTCTTTGGCTCCAAGTCAAGCTGCTAAAGTTCATGTTCCACCCAGGGACTTTGGTGAGTCTCAGTCCCAGAGGTGGGGCGGGGCTCAGTTTCCTTACCCCCGAAAGGGCAATGGCAATGCTCCCCACTCCCCTGTGTGGGAAAGCACCACTGTGCTCCCCAAAGGCTGCCTCCCTTGCTCCTCTGAGGGCTGCTGGGCAGTCCCGGTGGCCAACATAACAGGAAGCACCTGATCTGGAC